CAACCTGAAGCAGAGGCACGATTGGCCGGTACTAACACATCATGGTTTATAAATATGTATAGTGTTGTAGAAGAAGCTAAAGAAACACAGATTCAAATAATAATTAGAAATTACAGATCTTAACATGTATTAAAAACAAAATATCCGGCATAAACCGATAGACAAAATAAACACACAAGAACATTGTACCAGTCAGGGGTTCTGTCACAAATTCCTGCAAGGAAAATGATGTTTTTATGTCATGTCAAATAAATCCTCATTATTAAAAAAATAGACACCAACGATTTCTCAAAAATAGACTCAGGGTTAAACTACTGACTATAGTATTCTACATGAGGATAACCAACCATATCACTCGTCGCATGAATTGCTGTTTGGAAGTTGAGGATTTTCCAAGTGCATGGAAACTTTTTATAGTAAAACCTTTGATGAAAGTTCATGAACCTCAAAACTTTTCTTTTTCGTATATTATAATTATAATTTTAGAGAAAACTGTTAAAACTCAAGTAAGTGATTATTTTATGGCCAATAATCGGGATTTAGAACATGTTATAGTACTACAACGGTTCTGATTCATGTCTCAGAAGACATTATCAGAGAACAAGATGATGGTGAAGCTATTTATCTCATTTTGCTATATTTCTCAAAAGCCTTCGACGCCATAGAGCACTCCCTTTTATGTTCTAAATTATCTTACACTGGCTTCAATCATACAGCATTAAATTTCTTTGAAACATATCTTTTTGAACGTCAGCAAGTGGTGTACTTGAAAAATCAATGTAATCTTTTCCTGGTTACATCTGGTCTTCCTCAAGTCCTAATATTCGTTTTTACTGTACATAGCTGATATTCATACGGGTATATCTCATTTTTCTCTGGTAACTTACGCCGATGACACGCAACTGTATAAGTCTTAGCCCAGAATCAACATATCAAGCAGTACCTGAAATGTTGTTATATTTCTTAAAAGCGTTCGACACAATAGATCACTCCCTTTTATGTACTAAATTATCTTACATTGGCTCCAATCATGCAGCATTAAATTCCTTTGAAACATATCTTTCTGAACGTCAGCAAATGGTGCACTTCAAAAATCAATGTAATCCTTTCCTGGTTACATTTGGTGTTCCTCAAGTCCTAATATTCGTTTTTACTGTACCTAGCTGATACGGTTATATCTCAGTTTTCTCTGGTAATTTACGCCGATGAAATGCAACTGTATAAGTCTTTTAGCCCAGAATTTACACATCAAGCAGTACCTGAAATTAATACGGATCTTGAAGAAATTGAGAGTTACTCTAGAAGTGATAGACTTAAATCAAATCCTAATAAATGTACTCTCATGCTGTTTTGTTCTAATAATCTCCGACCAACTGTTCCTTAAATATACACATTTATAGTATACTATAGTATGTAGACAAACTTTAACCATCGAATCGTTGGTCAATTTGAAGACGAACTTTCCATATGAACATGGGTCCGCAACGGCTTCGTTTTCAAGCTAGAGCATACTAACACTGAAAGAAATGATGTTCTAAAAAATTATAAAAAAATGGAACGTATTTTATTTTAATTAAGTATGCCTTGTGGTGAATATGACATGATTTACAGTTGTTTTCAGACCCTCCATGTACGTAGATACGGATAATGTTATCCACATATTGACCTTTTCCAAAAATACAGTATAATACTATTTTCATCCATGTTCAGATTGAGCCTCAGCAACTTGTAAAATATGCAAAATTTATCATATGTTATACCAACTGTTTCATTATTCATAGAAATATTTGGAACATTACTCGTATTTCTTTAGTGATAGTGCTCTAGCTCGAGAAGAAAGCCGTTACTGACCCATGTTCAGATGAACATTTAGTCTTCAAATTGACCAAGGATTCGATGGTTAAAGTTTGTCTACATACTTTATTAATACCCTGTATATATAATATTTGATGAATCTTTACGTTTCAAGGAGCATGTTGATAATATTTTAAAAGAAGGTTATAATGTTCCTAAACGCCTTTATATTAATAAATATATATTGAACTTTAAAATTCATTGTATTATGTACGCTTCACAAGGTTTATAATGTTGAAATACTCTATTCTGCTTAATTACTGATACTGTTACTGGAGTATGTTGAGTGGAATAGATTTATCTAGACTCCGCCTATAAGGTATAAGATATGATGTACATTTTTGTATTGTATTTATTATTATTGTTATTATTATTATTATTATGTGCTGTACAAGTACTTTAAAATAATTTGGCGTCCAAAAAATTATCAGAAATGAAACAAGATATCCTGATGTCGTCATCTATGACAATTTGTCACATCTATGTTTCTCCTCTAAGCAATGATTAGGAATCTACTTTGAAAAGGTTAGTGTCTCTTAGATAGCGCTGTAGCCAACTATATAAGCATATATGGCTACAGTGCTATCTATGGGACACTAACCTTTTTAAAGTAGATTTCTAATAACTGAGGATAGGAAGCACATAGCTGTGTTAAATTATCATAGATGTTGCCTGGATATCCGATTTCATCTTGGATAATTTTTAGAAGTCCAGGACAGTACATTGTTGGCTACCATCAGGTAGAATTATTTTCCCGAAATGGCCACAGAATGCTCCTTTTGCGCTGCAAAGAATATTACTTCGTGATATGTAGAACAATAGAACGAGGCAATCAGCAATAATAGAATATAGCAAGCATAACAGGGAGTGCAAGTCAACCCTTAATAAATTGTATCAGTTGGGTGCCTTACCAATCAACGAATATAAATTAATCTTAAGTGGAACGGGAAGAAATAAGTTGGAATGGGTATAATGAAGTAGTTCTTCCCAATTAAAACGTAATGAGAAGCAATTGTATAACATACCCAACCATGTGCTGTATACAGGAACCCAAAAAAGGATCTAAAATACGCCTGCAGAACACAAAAATGAATTTAGAAATCTATTTTGAAAAGAGTTAAGAGTGTTTGGTTCTGTCTATCTCATAGATGGCGTTAAGATCTTCGATCCCTTTTTCGCGCCGTTCTAATGCCTATTTTAATTGGAGATATCCTGTTAAAATTGTCACTTTAGAGAGGCGCCAAAAAGTGATTAAAGATCGTAGCACCTTTTATGAAATAGTAGCAGAACCAAACACTTTGACTCTATTTTTGTTCCTGCTACTGTCTCATAGATGACCCTAGTATCTTACGGGTTACAGTATATGGTTCTATGATTGGCTATTTACAGGTAGAATACGTTAATTAATCTATGATAGAACTAAGATATTGTATTAAAAGTGTATACGTATACCTACTGGTAATGTAGTTCATAAACTTTTTTTTGCTCAAAAAGCACTAGAAATCAGTAACTCCCGCGTCCTAATGGCTTGCACGAAAATCCAAACAATAGCCTATTGTTGCCATACTTCCAACACATGCTTGGAAAAAAGGATCAACAATCAAAAATCAAGCCCAACGGCTAAATAAGAAGATTCATTCAACGTGAACGAACATGATAGAACTTGAGAGAGAGAAAGAGAGAGAAAAGACTAAAAACGGTTACATGGTCTTGTCTGTCTCTCTTTATTCTTCCTCCCACCATTCTGAGGAACAGCTGTTTGGATCGCCGAGCGGTTGCAAGTGATATGCGACGATGCCAAGTCGCCACGAAGAGAAATCAGCGAGAAGAAAAGCTCAGCGTTACTATCGTAATGTAATCTTGAATATAAAACTCATAATCTATCAATGCTTCAATTTATTTAACTATCTGCCTATTAATCAAATTCGATAGTCTTGGTACTAAATTATACTTGGGCTTTGTTTTCAGGCATCTGAAGACTACGCGTAAGAATTCATTAACGTTTACCACCTGAAAGTATTCAATTAAAATAGGCATTAAGAAGGCGCCACAAAAGAGATTGAAGATCATATCGCCATCTATGAGGCAGAAACAGAACCAAACACTCTAACCTTCTTCGTAGTATTCTTTTGAATTCACTGTTCTGCTACTGTATCATAGATGATAGTTTCTTTCGGATCTCTTCTTGGACGCCGAAACACAGTAGATGGTTATTTATCTTCAGATAGAATACGTTATTAAATGCTAATATTCCAGTACTATTTCGATTGTTTGAGCTTGAATATCTTAAATAACACTTTCGGTTTCATGTTTCAAGGCTCCAGTTGTCTGGATGCCTGGCATAACATTTATTAACAGCTCCGGCTGCTCACAAAAAACAGTTGAACACACCTTCTCTCGGTTTTTCCAAAGAGTTGTCGTGATTCTTGGCTTAAAGCAAATACCTAGTAAACCTAATAATATGGAATTTATGTTATTATATCATTGTCACTATATCTATGCGATACAAATATTTGAAAGTTTTTAACTAATTTGACATTCATAGTCTTTTGGGTGTACTCAACTTCCTTCACAGAATCTCGTGGTACAAGAATGAAATCGTGAAATAACTACTTATAACAAAGTACATTTCCAAAAAACCCTTAGATTCAAAATTAAAATAGTATAGATACAGTTAAATTTTAGTTTAGTTGGATTAAAACTTTGGTTGACCCTCTTCAGTATTCTTAAAAAATGTGGGTTTTCTCCAATACTTTGCAGTTTCCAATGTTATTATTAGGTATATTAATTCTAAATTTGCTGTTATTTAAACTGCTTTGTGCGATCCACAGAAAGCTCCACCATTCTTGGCAACTGTCTGGAGAACCAGGATTGTATGAAACCCACGCACTTTTATGTGTTTTTGCAGAAAAGTACGAATTTAATGTGAAATGTCAACAACTGTCAAAGTGGCGGTTTAAGCCTGATCGGCTTATACAATGAACTTGTATCCTAACTACTGACTACATAACAAATCGTATACTTGCTCCTTCTACCAAGTCCGTTGATCCTAACAGATTATTTTTCATAGTACAAATGTCGTGGATCTGCTGAAATTTCTCGTCCGATGTGGCAATGCCGCGCCGAGAAGTACCGCGCCCTTGGTGGGGGAAAGGCCGCGGAAGGCCGATTCAGAACCACTCGAACGAACCATCACAAAACAGTTGCTCGTCGACGCTCGTGTGAACGATCCAAACCTAGCAATCGGTGACTTGTCGGTTAATGTGGTGAAAGTGTCCAGTGACATTTGTCTATTTCGAAAATGGTCCGTAGCCTGTCGCAATGGACGAAAACCCTCAGTTTCCCGGCCAGGATTAGTCCGAATAAGAGCTCAAAAGAGAGCGTCAACATCCATCAAGTCAGTCCGACGATCTCGCCGACTTTGTCAAGTACTTCATTGGCGAAAAACAACGAAATCAACGCAGTTATGAATAACAATAATAATCATGCTTCTTTGAGCGAAGTCAACCAAGTAAGTCAAAGTCAGTTTATACGTTCTCTTCTTTACTGACATACTCTTTCCTGGAAATATGACAATACTTGGGCTCTATCAGGACGATAGAATTCCTCCCCGGAGGTCACTAAGGACTAGATTATTGCCCAGCGGAGTTTCTTTTATATTAGTCACATAAAACCAACGTACTTCTAAAATGGATTTTCGCTGGACAGTCGACAAGCAAATACTTAACTGTCTCGTCTTTTATTTGTGCACAACTTCAAAAGAATGCTTCATTTAATTTCATAGAAATGCTTTCTTAGCTGACAGTGTACCCTCACAATCAGAGTAACTCTAGGATTGCCGAGAACTATAGCGAATCGAATAAGAAGTCAGAAGTATCATCCCACATGTATTATTTTGATAATGACCGACCGAAACTGGATTTTTTTGCCGAAACCGAAACTTTTTCAGATTTCTGAGATTCAGTAGAATTTAGAGGTTTAGAGAGTTATAGTCATTCGTGCTCAATAGGGCTATAAAAAATGGAGAGTTAATAATATGTGAAGTAGGAAATATTACATTGCAGGCTGTAGCCACTTGTAGTCGAGCACTTTTATATACGATGTCCCAGATCAATAATGGATACTAATACGAGATACTTCCAGAATTTAGTTTCACTTCTAACATTTTAAATCACTATACTCGATTTAGATATTTCTATTGATTATCGTTACCTTTCGTATAATCTGAACCTAAATTTAACGATCATGACGTTTCCTGCTTATTGCATAACTACTCTGAAATATCTAGTTACCTGCTGTCAGGCTGACAAGTTCCAAGTCAAATGTAACAGGAATCAGATTTGGGCAATTTTTTCTGTTTTATTATCCCGATGTTAGAGAATGATATCGAATTATACCTAACATAAGCCATTTCTTACTCATGTTCATATGTATATGTATTTCACTAAATGAAATTGTAAATAAATGTATACAAACGTCCGAGTACGGCAAGACGGAACCTAAGAGTTCACGAATCATAAAGGTACGTTTTTTCCGATAAGTCGTCATAATGCTACTTTTACATTTTCTGTTTTATAGAGCATTGTAGTACTTAGAAAGAAAACAAGGTTACACATCGCTTCTGGACATCATTAACTTTTCTTGTGCATCTAAATTATATGAGCATGTACGGTACTTTTTCTTTCATGTATTACCGCCCATTGAAAATCTACGAATACGTCGCCTACCAACTGTCTTCGTATCACGACTAAAAACAGGAAACGTAGTAGAACAATCAAGACACAACTGAACGAAATACATGGATCGAGACAATAGGACTATCCTCCTATTAATGGCTCTTTGTTAAACTAACGTTACTCTCACTGAAATGGCAGATGTATGACGATAACTTGAGATATCCGTCCTTTTCGAATATCTAAACAAGGTATTTGGCTTTCTTGTAACCACATTTTCTTTTTTATTTGATGTCGACACAGTTGTACTGAGGAGTGTTGAGAGAAATTTTGACGAACATTCATAGTTTGATATGAAAGATCTATAAATCGATCTACACATAGGAATATGATAATATTATGTTCTATATAAGAAAACGTTAACCAATGTCCTTTACAATACGAATAACAAACTAAGGCCATATCGTATATTCAGCACCAACCGCAATATTCTATTGAAACTTGAACTTCTTAATTGATACTTGGCTCCAATATCGCTGTTAGTAAGAGTACCTGACTCATCCAGTAGATACTGACTGATTTTATCTATTAGTTTTCCAGTGAGCTGTTATCAATGACTGTGTAAACAAACATGTTTATTTACTTTTACAAGCTGAATACATTTACAAATAGTTTACAGAGACATTTTCCAGTCCTTTATTGACAAAATTTGGATATCCCGTCCTATATTCCACAAACACATTTACTTGTCTAATCTTACACATATCCTGTTTATGCCTATCCTTTAGAAAAGGATAGACCATATAGCGTTACGGACTCATTCTTGTTGCTTTCTCATATTTAACCTGTATTCAAATCTTTTGTCTCTCTCACACGTTCAACGATGTAATCTTCGGTAACAGTAGCTGATCACTACTGAATTTTGTTTTGTCTTTAGGATACGGTATTTCAGCCTCTGTGGTTATGTAGCGTTCATTTTGGTCTAACAAATGATGTGGTTTCTATTGAGTATCTAGGTATATTATACATATGACATTGTTAATATTACTGTACTTTTGTTTCATTCGCAGGTGTTTAGGTATCGTTATTAAATTTGCTTTCTGTGACCTTTTTTTTAAATGATCAAATGGATATGAAAATCCACAGGAGAAATTGGTTACAAGGAGGATGCAGAATAAACATAAGAAATTTAGTTTTTTAATAGAGGTGTCTACTTATATTAAAAGTAGGTACAATTGCGCTAAAACTTCAGAATATAAATTTTACAGATAATTTGGTTTTCAATTTGCTCTACAACAATAGTTAACAAACAGTCCAAATTTTAGACTTTAATTCGCTGTGATGCGTCATAAAAAATCACTGTATAATATTAATATATGTATATAAAAATTATTTTTGTGTAAGTTTCCCATCAACAAGGGTAGAATATTACAATAATTACGTGAAACTTGGGGAAATGTGTGCGGACAACTTGGTTCGAGTCAAGCACAGATTTTTATAACTCATAATTTTTCAACTATTTATTTAGTTAATACAACCAAGAAAGTGCACATAATATTCGTCTGAAATTTTAAATCTCGACTTTTTAGAAGCATTCAACAAATTCAATTCAGAAATTGCCAGATGTCAATATTCTGGCCAAGTAGTTTTTGCAAGAGTCTTGGTCTTGATCGTGCGGTTCAAGTCCTGGTCTTGGTTTTGGTCTTGCGAAGCCCTACCAACCGCCCGTACGTGCTGATACTGTCCGTCAGAGAAGTGTCATCGATCAGTCGGGCAGCCTTCCTCTCAACAGCATCCAGTACGCAGACTGAGTTAGGGCGGCACGTATTGACGTGTAGAAGAAACGTGTAAAGTATTGTATAACGTATTTTTCACGAGTATCCATTACGTTTTGACGTCTACTGAGGTGAACAGCTAATCACGTGACATCTTTGTATTAGCCTGTAACGTTGGCAATAACAAATTTTAGGTCCGTATTCAGAGCTGTTGTTCCCATATCTGGATTATACTTTCAAGTGACTGGGAAATGTTTGATTTTTGCAGTGTTCTCAACTCCCAACAGTTGATCCATGCCTGTATTCACGAACACTGCATTGTCCTAGCTGAGTACATTTCATGACTTCCTGCAATAGTTGTACATTTTTCTAATTTTCAACTTAGAATTACCTGAGTGATGTTCAGACTTAATTCATGGAATCGGACTTCGAATTCGGTCATATCTGTACTGCCACATATTCTCAGTTAACTCTATGACTGTTTCATTACCCTTTAAAATCATATGGTGTTTCAAGTTCTAAAAAGCAGAGATGATTAACATAGTCAAAAACTGTTTATCGTATTTTATTCGTACCTGAATTGAAATGCAGTGATGATCATGCTTGTAGCGTTTTTTAAATCAAAGGAGCTTTTCTAAAAACCACAACAAAATATGGATCTGCCTACCTGGCGTTGACGAATCCCTTAGAATTAATTGTATCACTTGTCGATATGGGGAGTTTTGAAATATCCCTAGATATTCAGCTGTTATTCTACTGTGATGGATACTCGTGAAAAACACCGTACACCCTATTTCACGAGTATCCATCACGGGACAGTGACAGCTAGTTATCTAGTAATATTTCAAAATTCCCTATATCGGCACAGGACACATAATTCTGACGGATCCGCCAACGTCAGGTAGCCAGAGTTGTATTTTGTTTTGGTTTTTGTACTCTACAGATTCATTTTGTATTTGCTAACAGCTCTTTTATTTAGAAAAGTTCATTAATCATCGATTCACTATTGCCAACGTCGCAGACTAACACGTCACTTGCTGATCAGCTGTTCACATCAGTAGACGTTAAAGCGTGATGGATACTCGTGAAATAGGGTGTACCTATAAACGTTTCCCATAACCTCATTTTGCCATACTTTAAAATTCAAACTGGCGACGATCACAATAAATCTTATTTAGACAACGAATCACGTACAGGAAACGATAATTTGTCGAAAATTGATCTTGCCGGCTTGCCGCCTTTTTTTGTCAACGCACTCACTAAATAAAGTATGGGAACCCGGCTTTTGTGTGTACATTTCTTTGCTTAACGGTCTCAAAGGAATGTGGTGACGTAGGAGTTTAATTACTACGTATCCTCACGAGAGTATTATTACTTGCTGGAATAAATTGTTTCTCATAATATATTATGTTGTTGGGCTTCTCATTTTGCAGTTTGATTTGTAAGTTTTTGTCAGGTGGACATTCCGCATCTAAGAAAATATAAGGGTATATAGTAGACAGACTTGCAAATATCTAGAAACAATAATGAAAGTTGAAGCATGAAGCAACATGTGATGCGATATGCCAGTGCACTTCGGTATGACTTTGTAGATAAGTAAGCTACTATTTACGCTTGGCAAGAATGAAGTTCCAGATAATCCAGAACCATTGAAACCGGAGGTCGGTTTTGAGGGAGTGGGCACTATTCTCTAGGATTTAAATTCTAGATTGAGAACATAAATCTATAATCTATATTCGTTTTTCAATTACCACTCTTAGCCTATTTACATATATTTATTACACATGAAATTAATATAAACTAACAAAACGAAAACTACAAATCACATCTTTTAAGCGTTTTTTTGAACACAATTATCATTTTGTCTTATTTTGTAATGACCACAAATGGTGAGTGGATGATGGTGAATGTAATTATCTGAAGATTGAAATTCAGTAGCTGGAAAAGTTTGATACAAGTAGAACAGTGATTAAATATATGCATAACGCTTTATATGTATCTAGTTTGTAAGCATTAGATTATCGATATTTTCCAAGAAGTATTTGATGCCAAGGACAAATTTT